AAGGCAGCGATGAAGGTGAAATTCCCAGAGGGAATAAGCTGCTGTGCAAATGGAGGAATTAAAGAGCACAAATGGCCAGTGCCTGGTGGACTCTGCTGGCTCTTCAGGAGGGGTTTAAGGATGAAGCAGCCAAACTGCCAGCAAATCTCTCATTAAAGGGAACTGCTGCATGGGAATGCAGCCTCTCGGCTCTGTCCTTCATTTAAGAGGTGCAGGGAGAGCAGGGGGAATTATGGAGCAGCTTTGCTTTAGCAACAAGCAAATTGGCTGAGAAAATAATTAAAGCTGGTGTGGAAATGCTGCTCCAGTATGATGGATTAGGGACAGCAACACTGGCTTTTATAAGGGAAATCCAGTTTAATGGGGATGGGGGGTTCTTCTTTTTCTAGTATGGCAATAAGATAATTGAGGACAGCAGCTGGGAGATGGATCACTGGGATTTTCAGAAAGCCTCAGACAAATTCGTGAAGTTATTAAGGAAAGTGTGAAGGCAGGAGCGATGGGAGGAAAGGCCAAGTTCTGTTCAGTGTGTTCAGGTGTGCTGGGAGGGAGGAGCAGGGGCCAAGGGATGCTCTGTGCTGACTGCGGCTCTGAGCTTAAAATTTGGTGTTAAATATGCACAGCTGTTGCAAATCAAGCACAGAAGAATTAGGTAAGACTCGATCTGAATTGGCTGGAGGAGCCTGACAGCCTCCCCTCTCCCTGGGGTGCCTTTGCTAGGTCGGAAGCTGTTGCTAATTACACGGCTGGGGAGCTGTGTTCCCTTGCAGGACCCTGTTCCTCCTGAGACAGGCCCATCCCAAGGGGAGATTCAGGGCAGTTGGTTGGGAAGGCTGATGCTGGCAGGGACAGGGGAGCTGAGGGGGGGCCTCAAATGAAGGAGTGGATCCCTGCTGCTGTGAGAGCTGTGCTGGGCAGCCTGGGCTCTTTGGGAACGGGATGTGGCTGCTGGACAGGGTGTTCTATCCTCCCTTCAACAGCGATCCAATTTTGAGCTAATTTTCCCGAGGACAACAAAAAGCGCAGAGACAACTGCTGCCCAGATTTTGTATCCTGCTGTCGCTGAGCCAATTAAGGAAAGGGTTGCCATATTTTATTATTTTTTTTCCTTAATGCACGGGTGGAGCAGCATAGCTCTTCTAAAGCCTCATTCTTGGAAGGGGCTGAGCAATCTGGGCTGGAGCTTTTTGGGGGGAGGGGAAGCAAAAAAAAAGAGGGAGGGGGGAAAAAAGGGGAGAAGAGAGAAAATAAATAAATAATCACACGTGGTGTGGAAAATACTGACCTGCAGAATTAGCATTTGTCAGAACAGGTCCAGTTATCCCAGCATGGGGCTCTGAAGGCTGGCCAAGCTCTGCCCAGGGTTGGTGCTGGGGGAAACCACAGGGAATTTTGAGTGGACTTGTAAAAAAACATGGGTAAAAATGGGTGCTGGATGGTGCTGGAGGGGAAAGTATGAATTTTGGACTGGCTGCCCGTGCCCTCAGGTGATGTACACTGGGATGTCCCTGCCAGGTATGGATCAGGTGATGTGAGTGGCATCTCCTCTCCTTCCATATCTCTCCTCCCTTTTTCCCTTGGTGCCAAACCTCTGCCTCGCTCCTGATGAGCCTCTGAGCTTCAGGCAGCGATGAAGCACGTTTGGCTTTGATCTTGTGAAAATACTTTGGGAGAAGCGATGGGGGAACCTTTGTATCCAACAACCTTTGGTGTAACTTGCGAAGGGTGTCCTGGGAACCCCTGAGGCTCACCAGGCTCCTGCTGCTCTGTGTTGGCATGTGGGTTTTGGAATGCATCTGGGCTGGAAGTAAAAGCACAGGCCCCTGTATCCCAGAGGACCTGGCACTGGCTCTGCAACACCCACAGCTTTGCTCACTCTGGTGTTCGCTGCCTTCCCCCATCTCTTCTGTCTTGTTAGTCATTGATTTTTTTTATTATAATTTTTATGTGTTATTATTATTTTCTCCCCCTTCTCTTGAGTTTTAGGCAAAGCTCAGATCAACACAAAAAAGTGTTTGCTTTTATGTTACTGTGTTGTTAACCTGCTGCTGCTGCTTGTTGTTGTCACAGCCCGGCTTGGCCAGGGCCGCTGACCCTCGGGGCACAAGTGACACGGGGCTGTCTGTAAGCAGTGTTAATATTTTATGACTTTTATATTTAGGGAGTTAATGACTCTAAAGAAAACAGATTTTGATCTAATCAGCTATGCCTTGCGCTGCGTCAATCCTGGACATCAAAGAGAACATCAAAGTGAGAGGCATGAAAGGCTCTGACGGCAGCGTGGCTGCTTCGCCAGGTGCAGCACCTCGGAGCAGGTGCCTCCTCCAAGGGGGCTCCTGCACCTCCAGCAGGGCTCCTGCACCTCCAGGCAGGCTCCTGTGCCTGCTCCCATACTGCCTCCAGGCAGGCTCCTGTGCCTCCTCCTGCGCTTCCGAGTGGGCTCCTGCACCTGCTGCTGTCCCAGCCTGGGGTCTGAGGCTCCTCTTGGAGAGGTCGCAGGTAAAAGTTGTTGTCCCAGCAAGGAAAACAAGATTAACGTAAAAACTTGGTAACTAAGACCAAGGCTGTTAAACTTTTTGTGTTGTTTTGCCTCGGATGGCAGTGGAGCTGGATGTGAAGCTGGATGTTGGATGTGGGAGCTTGCGGGAGCGTGAGATGTTGCTCCGTGGGACTGGCCCAGCAATGGGCGGCTCTCACACCAATTCTGATTTTTAAATTCTTTTCCCAGTCTTGGTCAGGCTCTTGTCCTTCTTTCTTTTTTCCCTTTGTGTTTGCTGGCCGGAGGGAATCCATGGATCACTTGGGGAGGTGAGAGGGGCTGTGCCCCCCGAGCTGGGGTCATGTGTGGAGTGGGGTGTTGGGCTCTTAGGGTGAGGCAACCGCTGTGTCCAGAGCATCGAGCACAGTGAGGGACCAGTGTGGGAGGTGATACAGCTCCAGTGCCCAAGGGCAGTGCCAGGAGGTGCCGCAGTGCTGGCGATGGGAGTGCTGTGGCTGGACACTGGGGCCCTCCCTTGTCCTGCCAGGCCTGGGGCATGGGGGAGCCCAGCAGATCTGGGGATAACCTCAGCAGAGTGCAAGCAGCCGGGCAGAGGTCCAGGAACGTTTCCTCCCTGCCGCTTTCCCATGGCTGTGGCAGGCTCTGAGGCTTGAGAAACACTCCGGGGGCTGCGGAGAGGAAGCTGTCGGGGAGCCCTTGTGCTCCTCTCCTTGTTTGGACACAGCTACTTTTCCACTGTCTCTCTTAAGGAAAAGATAAACAATTTTAAGGAAAGTGTGGATGCGTGTGTGTGTGAGGTTGTGTTTGGGCAGCAGAAGCTGCTGCAGCATGAACATACCGAAATACCCAGTGGATTTAATTTTATAAACCCCTTGAGCTGGTTCAGGGAGGAGCTCAAGGTCTCCTTCAGGCACTTGCAAATCCCATTTCAGGCAATTGGGAAGAGATAGTGTGATGGGGCGGGAGTGATGGAAGGGATGGGGGTGGGCAGGTTTCAGTGAGGCACCTGTGCAATTTGCCATTTGCAGGTCCTGACAGCAGCCTGGGGCTTCCAGCAGCCAAACCATCTCCTGCTGCTGGTTCATCCCCCCACACAGCCCTTTTTCATAGAATCCCAGATTGGTTTGTGTTGGAAAGACCTTAAAGCTCATGCAGTTCCACCCCCTGCCATGAGCAGGGACACCTTCCACTGGACTGAGTTGCTCCAAGCCCCATCCAACCTGGCCTTGAACACTTCTAGGCATGGGGCAGCCACGGCTTCTCAGGGCAACTTGTGCCAGGGCCTCACTACCTGCCCAGGGAAGAGCTTTTCCTCTTCTCCCCAAGCAGAGCCCATGTACCCCACCAAAGTGTTCCTGGGGTGGAAACAGGGCTGGGCTGGCCACTGTGTTCCTTCCCACAGGATTGGTCCCTGCAGCAGTGCCAGGGTGAGGGGTCCCTATGGCTTTAACAGAATGAGACTTTCCCCATGTCTGTGACAAGGGACATCGCAGTGGGCATCGCTCGGAACCTGCCTTGCCTGGGTCGAGAAGACCAGGAGGCACCACGTGTGCACTGGGTGGAGGGTAAGAAAGGAGAGACTGGATCCAGTTCCATGTCACTATGTGACAGGCATTTGGGAGCATGCTGGGACAGCAGCAGAGGCTGGGCAGCGCTCGAGGTGCAGCTCCTGGTGCTCTGCAAACTGGTGGTGGGAGCAGCAGGTTGTCGCCTGCTGGGAGCTCTTTTCCAGCTCATGCAAGGGAAGGGAGCTAAAAATACATCTTGTTTGCCTCCAGCTGGAGTTGATTTGGGCATCCCTGGCTGTTGTGGAGTGCAGTGGAGGACAGCCAGTGGTGGAAGTTTGCCGACTATAATTTTGCTGCTCTGCCCTACCCACCCTGCTCCAAAAAGCAATGGCCGGGAAAAGCAGGGAGCGGGATGGGGTGTTAAGAGCTCCCGACATGCTCTGCTCAGAGTTTCCAGGACATGATTCACCTTTTCCCCCTCACCAGAAGCAGGCAGGCCTGGGGCTGCTGGAGGGGATGTTCAGAGGCTTACCTCTGCTGTACAGTGCAGCCCTTCTGCATGGGATGCCAGCACGGCCCCACCCCAGTCCTCAGCAGCGCTCAGCAACACAAACATGAAATCGTGTGGTTTCTCCTTGTTTTGTCTCCAGCCTTGTGGTCCAGGTCCTTCCCTGGCTCTGCTTGAAGGTGTCAGGGCAGCTGCTGCTGCACGTTTCCCATTCCTCCCTACGGCTCTTGTCCCACTGCTCCACAGCGGTGGTTTGGCTCAGGGGGATGGTGGGGTGAGACACCTCAGTGAGAGGCTTCAGCCACACTGGTGCACTTGCAGGGGCCTGGCTGGGCTGTAGTGACAGTGTTGGGGTGTAAAGAGTGTTGGGGTGTTGCAGGGGTGACATGTTTGACCTGCCTGGGTGCCTGTTGCTGGAGGAGAGGAGCTGCCCAGGAGAGTCGCTGTCGCTTCTGTCTCATGTCTCTGCTCTCCTCCCTCTCAGGTTCCCGACCACCTTCCCTGGTTTTTCATGCTGAATCAGGATCGTGTTAACTAAAGATGGAAACACTGGAGTCAGAATTGACCTGCCCAATCTGCCTGGAGTTATTTGAGGACCCCCTCCTGCTGCCCTGTGCCCACAGCCTCTGCTTCAGCTGTGCCCACCGCATCCTGGTGTCCAGCTGCTCCTCCAGCGAGTCCATTGAGCCCATCACCGCCTTCCAGTGCCCCACCTGCCGCTATGTCATCTCCCTCAACCACCGGGGCCTGGAGGGCCTCAAGAGAAATGTGACCCTGCAGAACATCATCGACCGCTTCCAGAAGGCCTCCCTGAGCGGCCCCAACTCCCCCAGCGAGAGCCGCCGCGAGAGGACCTACCGCAACAGCCCTACCATGTCCGTGGCCAGCGAGAGGATCTCCTGCCAGTTCTGCGAGCAGGATCCACCCCGGGACGCTGTCAAGACCTGCATCACCTGCGAGGTGTCCTACTGTGACCGCTGCCTGCGGGCCACCCACCCCAACAAGAAGCCCTTCACCAGCCACCGGCTGGTGGAGCCGGTGCCCGACGCGCACTTCCGTGGACTCACGTGCCTGGAGCACGAGAACGAGAAGGTGAACATGTACTGTGTCGCTGATGACCAGCTCATCTGTGCCTTATGTAAACTGGTGGGCCGCCACCGGGACCACCAAGTGGCATCGCTCAGCGATCGCTTCGAGAAGCTGAAGGTAAGGAGCTGGCATGGCTGTGGCAGCGCAGTCGCCCACAGGAGCTGTGTCTGCCAGTGCTCAGAGCAGGGTCTGGTTCCAGGTGCCCCAAGCAGCACCTCATATTTAAGCTAAACAGCTCCTGAAGGATCTTTGGGATGCAACTGCTGGGCTCCTCTGGTACCGTGGTATCAAGGAGGCTGAGCTGGGTCTTGGTCTTGCCATTAGGGCAAAGTGTTTGCTGTTTTATTTTCTCCTGCTGGCGTGTGTGTGCCGAGTCTGGGTGTTGGACCCAAATGCCATTGGGCTTCTAGGTGTCAATGTTGCTTTACCTTGTCCTGTGGGAGAGCTGGGATGGCAGAGTGTCCTGGGAGACCTGTGGCACCATCCCCTAATGCCGTAACCCTCGGGCCGTGCCTGCTCAGCTCTCTTGGAGGATGGGAGCAGGACAGGTTGGACTGTGGCCATTTCCTCTGGGAAAGCTGCTCCACAGTCTCCCAGTCCACGGGCTGCAGCACATGGAAACCTCCCACTGTCCATAAATCCTCCCCTGCAGGCTCACCCTGTGCCTGAGGACCACTGAGCCCTAGGAAGTGCTCTGGGAATGCTTTTGTGTCCCCCTTGAGCTGGCTTGCTCAGAGCTTTTCCACTGTGAGAGGGAAGGCTCAAGCTCTGAGCCTTGGGGATGAATGGGTTGGGAGCAGCCCTGTGGAGAAGGATTTGGGGATGCTGGTAGGTGAAGAACTGGACATGACCTGGCAATGTGTGCTCACAACCTGGAAATCCAACTGTGTCCTGAGTGCATCCCCAGCAGTGTGGAGGGAGGAGGTTCTCCCCTTTTGCTCTGGTGAGATCCCCTAGAGCACTGGGTCCAGTTTTGGGGCCCCCAGCACAAGGAGCACATGGACCTGTTGGAGCAGGTCTGTAGGAGGCCACAGAAATGGTCCAAAGGCTGGAACCTCTCTGCTAGGAAGAAAGGCTGAGACAGGTGGGATTGTTCAGTCTGGAGATGAGAAGGCTCCGGAGAGATCTTAGAGCCTCTTGCAGTGCCTAAAGGGGCTTCAAGAGAGCTGGAGAGGGACTTTGGACAAGAGCATGGAGTGACAGGGGAATGGCTTCACACTGGCAGGGGGCAGGGTGCAGGGTTAGATCAGAGATTAGGGAGAAATTCTTCCCTGGGAGAGTGGGGAGGCCCTGGCACAGGTTGCCCAGAGAAGCTGTGGCTGCCCCATCTCTGGAAGTGTCTAAGGCCAGGTTAGATGGGGCTTGGAGCAACCTGGGCTAGTGGAAGGTGACCCTGCCCATGGCAGGGGTGTGGATTGGGTGGTCTCTGAATGTCACTGCCAACCCAGATCCTTCTGTGACCCAATGAGGCAGTGTCGGAGCTTCCCAAGCGCCTCAAACTCCCCTTCTGTCCTCCACCCTCCTATGGGATCTCAGCACTTTGGCTCCTTGCAGATGCCATCCCTGAGGGGGCTGGCCTGAACACTTCTGTGTCTCCCAGAAGGACCTTGCCTTGAGAGGATGAGGTGGCTGAAGGCTGACAAGGATTTGAAGGCTTCTGAAGATCTCCCCATGGTCCCATTGTCTGGGGTCTTGCTTCCGCTGGAGCATTTCCAGCAGTGGGAGCTTTTCTCTAGGACAGCCCACCTTTTCTATCCTAATCCCCCTGGGCTGCAGTGGCAGAAGTGATGCCTCTCCAGCCCTTTCACTCATGGCACATATTGATCTGAACTGAGTTACTGTTCTGCTGGTCTTCAGGAGGGAGCTAACAAACTTCCCAGGATCCCTCCAGAGCACTTTGAAGCTCAATCTTTATGTGGGGGCTGTGGTTGCAGTGAATGTGATGTGAACCTGCATGGATGATGTTTGCCCTATATAAAGTTTGAAATCCCTCTCTGTCCCCTGTGCAATCTGCATGAGCCTGCAAAAAAAAAAAAAAAAAACCAAACCACGCTTTTAAACCCTTTTTTTTTTTTTAATATGAAAAAAACTACAACAGGTCCCATCTGAGGTCGTGCTGCTGAGGCTGTGGCAGCAGTCATCTTCCCATTAGAACCCTGCTCATGCCTTTCCCAGCTGCTGCTTCCTTAGTCTTTTCTCCCTTCATGTACCATGCTTGTTCTGACCCAAAAGTGCTTTTCTTGACTCTTTGTCCTGTTCATGTTTGGAACAAAACCCCTCTCTCTGCTCTCATGGATTCTGAGGGCAGAAGGAATACTTCTGTTGCTCCAGCAAAAACACAGAAGGCTTGAGTTTTTTTTTGTGCAGACCAGATTATTTTTTTTCTTCCTTGTTCTTAAACAGACTGATGCCTGGAAAGAAATCTTCCTAGATGTCCCAGTATGCTGGGCTGGTTTCCCACCTGCCCCTCTCTGAACTCTCCCAAACCTGCTGCACGGTGCCCAGTGCTGTGACTAAATGCCCATGACAGTATGAGGAATGGGTGGTGGGATGTCCTGGATGTTGGTTTTTTCTTCCCTGTGTTCCAGCCACGAGCTTTGGCTTTGGGTCAGTGCTGCCAAATGGGGTCTGGGGGGAGGCTGGGATTTGCCTGCAGCCCCTGATGTGCCCATCTCCCATCACATCATGTCTCACCTAAGCTTCCTCGGTGCATGGAGCTGTGCCAGCAGCCCCATCCGTAGTGCAGGACATTCTTTTTCCATGAGGAGATGTTTGCAAATTGGAAACCTTCGAAAGCAATGACCACGTATGTTTGCACACAATAAAACCTGGGCAGGGAAATTAAAACCTTGGAATAGTCCTCCCTGATCTGGTCCATGCCAGCCACGCAAATCCAGCTGAGGAAGCTTTGCAGGTTGCCAGAACACCTTTTTTTTTTTTTTTTTTTCTTTTTAAATAACAGTCTGAAGTGATTTTGGCTGTGGAGGGAAGCTCTCCTCTGCTGCAAACATTCTTCCTGTGCTGTTCATCCTGCCCAGCTCCCCACTCACTGCAGGGCTGGAGCTGGATGGGGAGCAGGGGTGAGGGTGGCCACAACTACCTAGGGGGGACCCTGGTGTGTCCTTCCTCTGGCTCATCCTCTAGCACATCCCTGTCTCTAGCTGTGCACTGGTTGGGCTGGTTCTGTGTGTCTCTTTTCCTAATGCTCTACCTCTGCTGCAGGAATTGCTTGGCATCAATGCTGGGCTTTACCAGCAGAGCCAATGTTTGCTTTATCATCTTTGTGCCATCTCCTTGCACGGGCTCAGTCCACAGCTCTGGCCACCACACGCTCCCTAGCAGTGCTCAAAATCCTTGCAAGTACCCGAAGTAGTTGAAACCCTTAAAAAGGTGCTGGTAGGATTCTGCTGCCCCTGCAGGCCTGCCCTGTGTCCTGTGCCCACGGCAGGGCTCTGGCCCTCCACAGGATGTTGTCGGTGAGCTCCGTGTCTGCTCCCAGAGCTGCATGACACACTCGGGCAGCCAGCAGTGAGCAGATGCACTTAATCCCTGGCTTTGATCCTGCAGCTCGAGCGAGCTGGAAACGCCTTTCAAGTTGGATTTTTTTTGATGGAAAATTGGGTTTTTGAAGTGAGTAACTTCCTGTTGTCAGAAGGACTGTGCTTTCCACAGAAATCTTTGGTGGGGAATTTTTTTCTCTTTCTTTAGAAGAGCTGAGTGCCTGAAACTGGACTGTTGTGTATAGACCAGAAACCTCCTCCTAGTGCTCCCCTTCCCTCGAAGCTGGTTTGTCATCCGAAGTCTCTAGAGTGTGCCAGCAGCCTGACTTCCCTGTGGATGCTCTCCAATGATCCATCTGTACTGTATTATACACCTCCACATGTTGTAGGAACCGTCTTTAATCCCTTTAACACGTGTGATGGGTTTATTTTGTGCATCCTGAACCCCAGTTGTTCATGCTGTAAAGATTCTGGCCAGGGTGAGCAGTTTTCCGGATTTAAGCAGGGACCACCTGGATGCTGGGCAGGATGGGGCAGAGGTCGGAGCACTGGAGCGTGTCCGGGAGCTTTCTGAAGCTGGGATGCCTGGGATAGATGCAGCAGCATTCTGTTCTGCTGGGAAGGTTCGTGTCAAGGGTTATCAGCTGCAGAGACAGTGAGGGAAGGGAACAACAGCTCTTGGGGTAGGAAAGTATCTGCAATGGAGTGGCTCCTTCCCAGTGCTGTGCTGACATGCTTGGAGAGCTGAGGAGATAATGGGGGATGAAATACTGATGGTAGTGTCCTGCAAGTGAGGGCAGGTGTGGCACCCCATGAGTGATGTGAGGATGAGGTGAGGGGCATGAGGGTGTCCTCAGAAAGTGGACCTGAGTTAAGATGGCATGTTTGAAGGCATCCTTGTATCTCCTATCCTCCCGCAGCCCACCCTCGAGGTCAGTTCCTGCCCTGAACCGCCCATTGTGAGCTCTCGGAGGTCTGGGGTGCCACGTGGGTGTGTCACTTGGAGTGTGCTCTTCTCTGTGTGTCCTTGCTCAGCCGTGCACTGCCTGTCCCGCTGTCCTGTGCAGCACCTTGTGTGGTGGGTGAAGCATCCACTGGCAGCATGGACCAAGCTGGCTCCTTGGTGGCAATGGCCTTTGCTTCCCAAAAGTTTTCTATGCTGTGGGTGCTAAAACACTGGCACATGTTGCCCAGAAAAGCTGTGGCTGTCCCACCCCTAGAAGTGTTCAAGGCCAGATTGAGCAGGGCTTGGAGCAGCCTGGTCTAGTGGAAGATGTCCCTGCCCATGGCAGGGGGGTGAATAGATGGTCTTTGAGGTCCCTTCCACCCCAAACCATTCCATGATTCTCTGATTTCCCAGTCCAACAGGCAGCACCCGTGCTCCGACTGCATGAGCTTGGCTGGGAGTGGTCCAAGTACATCAGGATGCTGGTGCTTGTTTTCCCTCTCTGTGGGTTCAGGAGGGGTCGAGATGTTGAATGCAATCAGTGACAAAGTCATGCGCTGGCTCAGCTCGCTGGCTGGAATTCGACATTAAAGATGAAATTAAAACTGTGTGTAGATTAAGAGCAAAACTAATGGCCTGACCTAGATACAGCAAGTGCCCAGGACGGCAGT